AATTTATAAGCATCTCGACAGTTGAAGCATTCTCACAAATAGGGCAAACTAAAATAAGTCTGGACATGTTTAAACATCTTGGCAATGCAAATGTCCCTTTCCCATTCTATTTGATAATTTCAAAATCTCTTCCCCTGTGAAGCCTTCCTGACTTGCTTAATCACAAGTAATCAGTCCATTCTTCATGTTCCTATAACATTGTGTTCTAACGTCTATCATTGCATCTGTTCCTTTATAAATAATATTTGCTAAATTGTGAGTTCTTTGAGGACAGAGAATAAGCCTTATCAACTTTTTTATTTCAATTTTTAACATTAGGGAAAAACTTTTTAGCTTTATGGAGGTATAACTGTTCTGCAACAAAACTGGACACATTTAACATTTACACCTCTTTTTTCTTGTTTTCTATATTCCCCACCCTGTACATTTCATACCCATGTCTCATTTATTTTGCAGCTGGAAGTCTGTACCTCTTAATCTCCCTCACCTCTTTCTCTCAAGCCTTATTAACCTTTTTAATGCCTTTTGCCTTGTACACTGTGGGCATTCAATACATGTCTGTTGAATGACTGAATGCCTTAATAGAAACTTCCTGAGAGTCTTGGGAATAACTTTGCCAATAAAGACTGAGCAACCCTACCACCAGTTCCCTGAACTCCACACCCTTGCTTACACTGTCCCTTCTGCCTGGAATGTCTTTCTCCTACACATCCATCCCCAGCCACCTTCTCTTGAATAACTTTTCATTCCTCCCAATTCAGCGCATGAGTTGAGAGCCTCAGGTCGCCCACCTGGGACTGGGTTAGGTGTCACTGGTACCCACTTCTGTGAAAGCAGGTGTGGATCGCCCACCCAGCTCTTGCCGAACTTGAATAGTTTTCTGCTCTATACGTGATTCCCGCGTGTGCTCGGCCAGAACTCAAAAATCCAGTCCAGGTTTGAGGGCTTGCAAATGCGCAAAGGATACTCAGAAGAAGGGTACAATTGAGTGGCAGGTGCTGTTCCACTGCCTCACTCATTATCAGCGAGGGGCCTCTTCAAGGGATATAGACAAGGTCCCCCGGGGGGGTGAGGAACACTGCGGGTTGGAGAGCTCCTAGCTACAGCTGGGGGTGGGGGCCGGGGGGAGCCACGCCAGCACTCAACGGGCTGCCTTGTACCCCACAAGGCACATTACTGCCCCTGCCTCCTCAGCCCTTGGCTTCTGTAGGGACCCAAGGGTCACGCACAGAGCTCACGTGATCACAAGTGACAATGCTGGTCCAGGTTCCTTAGCCCCGACTCATTTTGAATAGGAGTTCCCCTCCTCTCTGTGCCCAGGGAGGAAGGGCACACCCTCCTCAGCCTTGGACCTCTTAAGGGCTCCTTAATTTGATGCAGCTTAGATGACATCACTGTGACCAGCCTTTGTGCCCGTTGCCCTAGCAAAGGCTCAGGTCACTTTTCAAAACCAGGGTTCTGTTCCTGACTCACCAGCTCCACCATCTGATGGTGACAGCATCTCATCTCTGCAGTAATGGAGACTCCCCACAGGCCCACTAGCATGTACTGGATGATAGCGTAGTGAATGGTTCCAACCAGCTCCGCCTTAGCTGCCTGCTACAAGTCTAGATGTGGTGCTAGTCTTTGGAGAAGAAAGGCCACCACTGCTGGGACTCCCCTTCCTCGGAACCTCCCCATGGAATGAATGGGGAGGGACCCCTGGGATTTTCGAGAATGGCCGTGACAGCACAGCAGCTGGGACAAGGCTCAGGAGGGGCTAGAGTCACTGCCACCACCAGCAGTTAAGCTGCAGCCTTTGTCCCCAGCTAGGCAGCCTGAACCACGTTCTCCTCCATCTAAACCTTCTCCAGATTGATCTGTGTTTGGTTCCATTTGGTGTTGGCCAAGAGGGGGACTTGGTTGTGGCACAAGGTCTTCTACCTCAATCCCCTCCTACAATGCCACGTGCGTTCAGGGCACAGAGTCTGGCTGCTCTGGGCTAGAACGTGGAGGCCAAGAAGCAGGCCTCCTGAAATAGGCACATGAAAACATGCTCAACATCACTAATTATTAGAGAAATGCAAATCAAGACTACAGTGAAGTACCACCTCACACTGGTCAGAATGGCCATCGTTAAAAAGTCTACAGGGCTCACCCTGGTGGCGCAGTGGTTAAGAATCCACCTGCCAATGCAGGGGACACGGATTCGAGCCCTGGTCCGGGAAGATCCCATGTGCCGCGGAGCAACTAAGCCCGTGCGCCACAACTACTGAGCCTGCGCTCTAGAGCCCTTGAGCCACAGCTACTGAGCCCACGTGTCACAACTACTGAAGCCTGCACGCCACAACTACTGAAGCCCGCATGCCCAGAGCCTGTGCTCCGCAACAAGAGAAGCCACCACAATGAGAAGCCCGCGCACCACAACGAAGAGTAGCCCCCACTCGCTGCAACTAGAGAAAGTCCGTGTGCAGCAATGCAGACCCAATGCAGCCAAAAATAAAATAAATAAATAAATAGATTAATTTTTTTAAAAAGTCTACAAATAACAAATGCTGGAGAGGGTGTGGAGAAAAGGTTACCCTCCTATACTGTTGGTAGAAATGTAACGTGGTACAGCCACTATGGAAAACATAATGGAGGTTCCTCAAAAAACTAAAAATAGAGTTACCATATGATCCAGCATTCCCGCTCCTGGATACATATCAGGACAAAACTATAAGTTGAAAAGATACATGCACCCCTATGTTCATAGCAGCAGTGTTTACAATAGCCAAGACATGGAAACAATCTAAATGTCCACGGACAGATGAATGCATAAAGAAGATGTGGTACATATGTACAATGGAATACTACTCAGCCATAAAAAAGAATGAAATTTTGCCATTTGCAGCTACATAGATGGACCTAGAGATTATCATACTAAGTGAAGTTAAGTCAGAAAGAAAAAGGCGAATACCACATGATATCACTTATATATGGAGTCTAAAATGTGAAATGAATGAACTTATCTACGAAACAGAAACAGACTCACAGACAGAGAACAGACTTGTGGTTGCCAAGGAGGGGTGCAGGGGAGGGTTAGATTGAGAGTTTGGAACTAGCAGATGCAAACTATTATATATAGAATGGATAAACAACAAGGTCTTATTGTATAGCACAGGAAACTATATTCAATATCCCGTAATAAACCACAATGAAAAAGAATTGAAAAAAAAAAAAAAAAGAAGCAGGCCTCCTGGTGGCTAGGCAAGCCGACCTTTATCCCACTCTTCTTACTCCTGCTACAGTGCAAGTTATTCTTATCCACCCTACTGACTCCAAATGACCTGCAGCAGGCAATAAATAGCCGGTCCGAGATCAAAGATGGGAAAGAATGACAAATAGGATTTCAGTTGCTTTCACTTTTGTGAAATTCAAATCTGTAACGAGGCTGTGTAACAGATCTAGATCTAGGTATGCTGGCTTTTCGAAAATTCACTTTACACCACTTAAACACTTCGCTTTTACTAAAGGCCTGCGTTAGTACCTGTTTTCCGTAACCAAAATAAGTCTGAAGAGGATATTCTCTTTTACGAAAAAAGGCAAAAAGCGAAAATTAGCGTTCAGCATGTGTTTTGCAGCAGCCTTTATAGAGGCAGCATGCACCCCGTGCACCTGGAGTGGTCCCACGAGGCCCCTTCCCTGGGAACCACACTCAGCATCTCAGCATCAAGCCACCATAAGCTTTGAACTGTGTCTGTGGGCATCTGTGCTTCATCCTGATGTATTCTGAGCATCTGTTAATAAGATGTGTCCTAAGGTAATTGCTTCTTCCCTTTATGCCGTTTTGGCTTAGGAAAGGTTTCGTAGGAACGCTCCGCTTTCGGACAGCGGGGGAAACCCGTACAAGCACGCAGGAGAGTGGCCTCACCTCTCACTGCCCCACCCAGTCCTCACAGAGGTGCCCCAACAGGAGTCTTGGGTGGGAAAAGGAAACCACCAGTCACAAGCTTGATGGGAAGTTCATGAACTTGCCTTGTAAATTATCAGGATGGCTCTCCAGGCTCTAGCTACTTGCAGATAAGGCAGGTCTGCATTCTGCTCATCAGGCCTAAGAAGGCTTGGGCCCGGCCAGCCACAGTCCCCCATCCTTGAGCCCCTTGCAGGAAAGAGCCACATCTTGTATCACTATATTCCCAGGGCCCAGCACTCTACCAGGCGCAGAGGAGGCACCAGAAAATGGTCGTTGACCACGAGTCGACTGACTGATTTGTTTTCAGCTCCACACCCTAGGGTGGATGAATAGCTCCCAGAGAAGGTGAACAAAACCCAGAGGGGTTGGTTAGACAGTCATGGGGGATGGTTCTCCTCTGCTGCACCATTGCTAGGTCTCAAGGATGCAGGAATGGGAGCCTGAGCTTTCCCACAGCTCCAGCGGGCCTCCAGAGGAGGGTGGAGGGAGCTCGTGTCTGAGCTGGAGTTACTCCCTGGGCATAAGATTTGGGGCAGAGACCAAATGCTATGATGAGGTTAACGCATATGATGATTAACTTAACTGAATCAGATTAAACCAGTAACTGTCTATTGAGCAACTGGTATGTAGACACTGTAGAGAGAAAGAAATAAAGGGTGGTGTGGTAGAAAGAGGAATAAATGCAAACTCTGCCACTAGCTGGTTACAGACCTTGGGGAAAAGTCTTTTGGCCCTTAGCTTCTTCAAAGTCATCTACTATGATTTAAAAACTCAATCTCAGGGCTTCCCTGGTGGCACAGTGGTTGAGAGCCTGCCTGCCGATGCAGGGGATACGGGTTCGTGCCCCGGTCCGGGAAGATCCCACGTGCTGCGGAGCGGCTGGGCCTGTGAGCCATGGCCGCTGAGCTTGCACGTCCGGAGCCTGTGCTCCGCAACGGGAGAGGCCGCAACGGGAGAGGCCACAACAGTGAGAGGCCCGCGTACCGCAAAAAAAACAAAAAACTCAATCTCAGCCCTAAATGGATGAACAATAATTGACAGTAAAATCAAACAAACAAAAACTCACTTGCTCCTTTGTTCGAGATGATGATCACAAGGACGCCGCCAGTGTCTACGAGCTCAGAGGATCCCCTCATATCCATGGGAGGGGAACAGCCAATGAAAGGAGGCCTTGCCTGGCAGCTGTTCCAAGGCTCTGGCTCCTGAGAATCGTGTCGCCCTCTGTGCTGCATCACAAGAGCTTGGCTGAACAGCGGTCAGGCTGGGAAGTCGGTGCCCAGGGGCTTGAGGGGGCAGCTCTATTCTCCGGGATGCAGTAGGCTCTGGGGATAGAAGAAACAAGGAGGTTACAACCTGTTCCTGACCAACGGCAAGAGAAAATTGTTTTCTTTCTTCCTCTCTTGCTAACCTGACAGTGGGATCCATCTGTAGCCTGTGAGTCAGAGAATCAGGCTCATTATTTCTGCTCTATAAAAACATCTTCTGAACCCTGGTTATTTTCATTGTGCTTTTGTACAGTCGACCATAAAATGTCTAAAGGGAACTAAACCCATGCTAATTCTACATGCTAAGTGGACATACTTCACATACAAAAAGGAGGATATTTCTGAGCTCCGTGGTGCAATGAGCAGTTCAACATCAAGGTGGAGTGTCGGCGATTAAAAAAAAGAAAAACTAAATAACATGTAAACTTAATTAGCATCATTAGCAAACTTGCCATATCCTAGGCAGCACTGATATTAGACCACAAACAAAAATAAATGAATCACAACCTAACAACCAACCAACCAACCCACAAAACAAAAAACCAAGAAAGTATCAAAACATAATTTTAATCGATTTTGTAGATTAAATTGATAGCTTGATAACAGAGTTACAAAATGACGCCATTTGAAAAATGAGATCTCTGCCAATAAAAACATATTTCTAATGCTCTGGTTAGGTTTGCAATGGCTACAAATGCAAATAAGTTTAGAGAAAGTAAAGTCAGAGTTGTCAAATGCAAGTCAATATACTTTTCTTATTCTCCTTAAAATTACTACCTGCAGCCTCTCAGTGTTATGAATGCTGAATTCTTGCTCTAGTTGATGATATCCTGGACAGGCCTCCCTCAGAGGGAGCTCCTTCACTCACTCCTTACATTTTAAGGAAGAACTTGGGGACCAGAGTCCAACGCCTGGATCCTGCATTTAGCTCTTCCGCTAACTGTGATTCTGTACTAATTACATCACATTTCTACGCTCAAATTCCTTCATTTGTAAAATTATCTGTAAAATTACAAAATGATGTTGGAGTGTCTCTAGGTAACTTTTACACTCTGAAGTTACTCAATTTTGTGTCAAACAGACGTAACGCCAAAATTCTAATAAATTAGACACTAGAGAGACTCCATGAACTCTCTCTGGCCACATGACAACTACTGAACACACATGAGACTCTAATACCAATACTCAATGATAAAAATTATTTTGGTAAGATGTAGAAACACAACTTAATTATCTACAAAGTGATAATAATAACCCTGGCTATAAAGCCTGTGGTACTTTTCATTAACATTAAAAACTATAATACGGTACTTGTGTAGCAAAAACCTACACTACTGACTGTGTCTCTCCTTTACTTTTACACAACCATCACACTCAGAATGCTATGGACACTACCGCGTGGGAGTTTCAAGCCATTCTATGCAACACTAGCTGGGGGTCCTACAATTTAATAACTCAAATCTGACACCATTTACTGGGAGATGGCATCAGATTCCACAGGTTAAGGGCTCCATCCCGCAAGATTGCCCTCATCCCACTTCAGACGCCGATAGCAAAGCCAGTTTGTCACTTGTGCTTCTGAGAAATTGGCTATACATCAGACGTTCCCATGATCCCTTCTCAGGTTTCATTAATTTGCTAGAGCAGCTTACAGACTCAGGAAAACAGTTTATTTACTGTTTACCAGTTTATTTTAAAAGGATATGATAAAGGACACAGATGAACACCCAGGTGGAAGAGATGTGTAGGACAGGTGTGTGGGAAGGGGCGGAGCTTTCATGCCCTGTGCAGGTGTGCCACTCTCCCAGCACCTCCACATGGCCACCACCTAGAAGCTCTTCAAACCCCAAACTATTGGAATTTTCATGGAGGGCTTTATCACACAGGGATGATCAATCATTAACTCCACTTGTATCCCCTCTTCCCTCGCTGCAGAAGGGGATGGTGCTGAAAATTCTAATTTTCTAATCATGGCTTGGTCTTTCTGGTGACCAGCCCCCATTCAGGAACCCACCAAGAGTCATGTTATTAGAACAAAGGACACTGTTTTCATCCAGGAAATTGCAAGGGGTTTAGGAACTCTGTGTCAGGATGGGGGCTCAAAGACCAAATATTAGAACAGAAGATGTTCTCAGTGCTCTTATCACTAGGAAATTGCAAGAGTTTTAGGAGCTCTGTTGCAGGAACTCGGGCAGAGACCCAAATATATATTTTTTCTGTTATCTCACAGTAGTATTAAAGAAATATCAGCAAGCTTTGTCTCTAACAAGGTAATAATGACCCACACGACAGCTGTCAACTCACTCTAAATTAATTTTCCATGACCCCTAGGTTAATGATTAATTTGCCTGTCCCTGATATGCATAATATTCTGCTCATTATAAGGAAAAAATCCATCAAGCTGATTTATGAGTACATTATAAAAATAAATTGATATCTGTGAGCTGGTGACGTACTGATGAATAGGAGGTTCATCAACAGCATGGGTTTTTCTTTATGAATTTTAGAATCGTATTTATTTTTTTATACAGCAGGTTGTTATTCGTTATCCATTTTATACACATCAGTGTATACATGTCAATCCCAATCTCCCAATTCATCACACCACCACCACTTTACCCCCTTGGTGTCCATACGTTTGTTCTCTACATCTGTGGCTCTATTTCTGCCCTGCAAACCAGTTCATCGGTACCATTTTTCTAGGTTCCACATATATGCGTTAATATACGATATTTGTTTTTCTCTTTCTGACTTACTTTACTCTGTATGACAGTCTCTAGATCCATCCACGTCTCTACAAATGACCCAATTTCGTTCCTTTTTATGGCTGAGTAATATTCCATTGTGTATATGTACCACATCTTCTTTATCCAATTGTCTGTCAGTGGGCATTTAGGTTGCTTCCGTGACCTGGCTATTGTAAATAGTGCTGCAATGAACATTGGGGTGCATGTGTCTTTTTGAATTATGGTTTTCTCTGGGTAGATGCCCAGTGGTGGGATTGCTGGGTCATATGGTAATTCTATTTTTAGTTTTTTGGATGCTAGACTTTTTATTTTTTATTTTATTTTATTTTTTGTTACATCTTTATTGGAGTATAATTGCTTTACAATGGTGTGTTGGTTTCTGCTTTACAACAAAGTGAATCAGTTATACATATACATATGTTCCCATATCTCTTCCCTCTTGCGTCTCCCTCCCTCCCACCCTCCCTATCCCACCCCTCCAGGCAGTCACAATGTACCGAGCTGATCTCCCTGTGCTATGCAGCTGTTTCCCACTAGCTATCTATTTTACATTTGGTAGTGTATATATGTCCATGCCTCTCTCTCGCTTTGTCACAGCTTACCCTTCCCCTTCCCCATATCCTCAAGTTCATTCTCTAGTAGGTCTGTGTCTTTATTCCTGTCTTACCCCTAGGTTCTTCATGACATTTTGTTTTCTTAAATTCCATATATATGTGTTAGCATACGGTATTTGTCTTTCTCTTTCTGACTAACTTCACTCTGTATGACAGACTCTAGGTCTATCCACCTCATTACAAATAGCTCAGTTTTGTTTATTTTTATGGCTGAGTAATATTCCATTGTATACATGTGTCACATCTTCTTTACCCATTCATCTGATGATGGACACTTAGGTTGCTTCCATCTCCTGGCTATTGTAAATAGAGCTGCAATGAACATTTTGGTACATGACTCTTCTTGAATTATGGTTTTCTCAGGGTATATGCCCAGTAGTGGGATTGCTGGGTATTATGGTAGTTCTATTTGTAGTTTTTTAAGGAACCTCCATACTGTTCTGCACAGTGGCTGTATCAATTTACATTCCCACCAACAATGCAAGAGGGTTCCCTTTTCTCCACACCCTCTCCAGCATTTATTGTTTCTAGATTTTTTGATCATGGCCGTTCTGACTGGTGTGAGATGATATCTCATTGTACTTTTGATTTGCATTTCTCTAATGATTAATGATGTTGAGCATTCTTTCATGTGTTTGTTGGCAGTCTGTATATCTTCTTTGGAGAAATCTCTGTTTAGGCCTTCTGCCCATTTTTGGATTGGGTTGTTTGTTTTTTTGTTATTGAGCTGCATGAGCTGCTTATAAATTTTGGAGATTAATCCTTTGTCAGTTGCTTCATTTGCAAATATTCTCTCCCATTCTGAGGGTTGTCTTTTGGTCTTGTTTAGGGTTTCCTTTGCTGTGCAAAAGCTTTGAAGTTTCATTAGGTCCCATTTGTTTATTTGTGTTTTTATTTCCATTTCTCTAGGAGGTGCGTCAAAAAGGATCTTGCTGTGATTTATGTCATAGAGTGTTCTGCCTATGTTTTCCTCTAAGAGTTTGATAGTGTCTGGCCTTACATTTAGGTCTTTAATCCATTTTGAGCTTATTTTTGTGTATGGTGTTAGGGAGTGTTCTAATCTCATACTTTTACATGTACCTGTCCAGTTTTCCCAGCACGACTTACTGAAGAGGCTTTCCTTTCTCCACTGTACATTCCTGCCTCCTTTACCAAAGATAAGGTGACCGTATGTGCGTGGGTTTATCTCTGGGCTTTCTATCCTGTTCCATTGATCTATATTTCTGTTTTTGTGCCAGTACTATACTGTCTTGATTACTGTAGCTTTGTAGTATAGTCTGAAGTCAGGAAGCCTGATTCCTCCAGCTCCGTTTTTCGTTCTCAAGATTGCTTTGGCTATTCGGGGTCTTTTGTGTTTCCATACAAATTGTGAAATTTTTTGTTCTAGTTCTGTGAAAACTGCCAGTGGTAGTTTGATAGGGATTGCATTGAATCTGTAGATTGCTTTGGGTAGTAGAGTCATTTTCACAATGTTGATTCTTCCAATCCAAGAACATGGTATATCTCTCCAACTATTTGTATCATCTTTAATTTCTTTCATCAGTGTCTTATAATTTTCTGCATACAGGTCTTTTGTCTCCTTAGGTAGGTTTATTCCCAGATATTTTATTCTTTTTGTTGCAGTGGTAAATGGGAGTGTTTTCTTAATTTCACTTTCAGATTTTTCATCATTAGTGTATAGGAACACCAGAGATTT